TCAAGGGAGGTAGAGCTGGATAGAGCTGTTGCCTGGTTCACCTGACTGCCAATGCCACATGGCTCTCCCTCTACTAGCAGAGATTTAACTTGGGTTCACTTCAGAGAACTGCAAGGAAACTTGATGGGAAATCCCCACACCTCAAGACCACCCACTGGGTTGTTTCTGGACAAAAATAACCTGGTGTCTTTCAGTAGTTCTGTTAAGGGAATTGGATAGTAATAGACATTCCCTCCCTGGGCTGGGAAGGAGAGCAAGGAAGACAGCAAGACAGACAGAAAGCTTTTCCCTGAAGGCATGGGCAAAACCCATCCCAGGCCAAACCAATAGATTGGGGCTCTCAGGATGACCTCACCACCTCTGCCCTGCTTTCAGCTGCCCTTCAAGCACTGGGTCAGGTCTTGAGAATTAGCACTGTCCCTGAAAGTACAGGGATGGGGACCAGCTTGGGTGGGGGGAATTTGAGTCATCAAAAGTATGCTAGGGTTTTCCAACTAGTAGGTGTTCTCCAAGCGTTTTTGGCTATATGTTCCATTACAAAAAACTGACAATGCATGCTCAAAATAAGTATATTCACTTGTAAATTATTTATATGTACTCTCATCTATCATATATTTCATATTGGAAAACTTACTTCCATATAAAAAATAAGTATAAAAAGAAGTTTTAAATATTTCTTTCACCTGCCCCCAGCTGACCATCTCTACACCCCATGTGTCATCTGTACCCCACTCTGGACGACTACTTTAATTGTCAAGTTCCCGATGTTCTGGATTTTGGTGGGCAAAGAACAAAGAAGAGGGATCCACTCGAAGGAAAGTTGGATCATGGATGGGCACATAGGCTGTGTCCAAAGAAATCAGTGAAATGCGTGAGCATCTCAAAGTTCTCCCACCTTATCAGTGATGGCAAGAAGGGGTGATTGCATCCAAGAACTCTGTGTTAACTCTCACTGAGTCTGGAGACTGTGTTTTAAGAGGCCCAGCTAAACTAAGCCAAATTTACTGGCAAATTCACTGGGACCCACGGGTTGTGAGCGTCTATGGATACAGGGGCTTGTGCTTTCAGACTCCAGGGAGCAGATGCCTAAATGGTTTATTGCCCACTGGACGGCCCTACTGTCTCTAGGAGAGGGAGAAGGGAGAAGTGAAGTTTTGGGGGAGCCTCCTGCTGCTCCATGCTGGTGTTGAGATTCCTTCTATGCACTCCAGTGCTGTGAGGATGCTCACCGCCTACCTGTGGGTGGGCATGAGAGGGACGGCTCCCTGTTGTACAGAGTCTTCAGTTCAGTCACATGGGCATGGGACAACCACACAGCCTAGATAAACGACGTTTGTTTCAAACACCGCTCCGTGCCAGGCTCTGGGTGGGACAAATAGAAACCAGTTCCTGAAGAAGCTTTCAGGTCGGTGCAGGAAAACTATGCAAACATGAGTATGCATCGCAGGGGATGTCTTGGTTTGGGTTTTCCCCAAAGGAGGCTCTGTGTTCAGTAGTTCCTTGGGGAGGTGATCCCAGGATACGTGCTCAGGGAGGGAGAATGTGAGTACACGAAGGGAGGGAAAGTCAGAAGTGAGACATAATGAACAGGGTGCTGATGTGGGTAACTGACCTCTATCTTGCAGGGGTCCCTCTGAAGGACTCCATGGAACCTGGGAACCTTGCTGCTCAGGTGTGGCCAGCATCATTGGCATCACCCGGGAGCTGGTGGTTTGCAGCATTGTGCACCCTCCTCCCCAACCAAGACTTGCTGGAGCAGAATTTGTTTAACCTTAACATTGGAGAAGCACTATCTTAAGAAGCACTATCTTAAGGCTTTCATCTTTATCAAACATGATAGCTTTGATATAAAACATCGTTGTCCGTATTGTAGGACTTGATTCTTCCAAACTGGATCCCTCTAAATAACTTCTTTGAGGTTTCCAATGTTTGAAGTGGATATTAAAGTTTTCTAGTCCCTTGAAATCTCTTTAAAATGCAACTCCATGTACCTGCACTTTGTCATCATTATAACTCAATTGTAGAGACAGAAGGTTCACACAACCAACTGTTCTGTAAAATGCAAATTGTGCATGGGAAAAACTTCCCCTGGGAGAAAATGGAGTAGTTGCTGTGCGAGAAGTTATTTTTAAAAGAACACACCAAATGTCTCCTGTGCTTTAGTGTTTTACCAAACATTTCAATGAATCGAGGACCCTTTGGAAAGATCAATACACACACACACACAGAGAGTGAGAGCAAGAGCAAGAGAGAGAAAGAGAGCGAGAGAGAGGTGCTACATTTTGGGAAACATGTAAACATAACAGAAGTTTCATATATAAATTGGAAATGTCAAAACCAAGCAGGTCAATACTTTGCTTACCCATCCTTCATATTGTCATGTGATTTTTTACCTTTGATAGCCACTCATCTTCATTTCACCCTCAACAGAAGGATTAATCTAAGGTGTTAAAATATATTTTTCTGGGAGTGTATCAGTTAGTCATTCCCATGTAAAAGACTACTGCCAGTCTCAGTGGTTTAAAAGATGGATGGTTTATTCTTGCTTATAGGTCTATAGGTTGGTGGGGTGTCTCTGCTGATCTCAGCTGGGCTCAGCTGAACTTGGCCGCAAACCACAAGTTGGTTTGGTCTGGGTCTATTCCTTGGACCAGTTGGCTGCTTGTGGCATGTTCTTAAAGTGGGAATGGCAAAATGAAAATGGACAAACCCAACTCAATAAACGTATTTGAAGCCCCTTCTGTAGCTCTTCTGTTAACATCTGATTTGCCAAGGCAAGTCACGCGGCCAAGTCCAAACCAAGGGTTGGAGGATGTTGCAGTCTGAACGTTTGTGTCCCCGCCCCCTGCCCAATTCATATTTTGAATCCCAATGCCTCAGGTGATGGTATAAAGAGATAGGGCTTTTGGGAGGTGATTAAGTCAGGAGAGATCTATCCTCACAACTGGGATTAGTGTGCTTTTAGAAGAGGATCCAGAGTGATCTCTCACCTGCTTCCAGCATGTGAGGGCATAGTGAGAAGCCGGCAGCCTGCAATGGCTTCTGGTAGTCCCCGGCCATGTTGGCACCCTAGTCTTGGATTCCTAGCCTTCAGAACTGTGAGAAAGAATTTCTGTTGTTTATGAACTTCTCAGTCTCTAGAATTTTGTCATAGCAGTCCAAATGGACTAAGAGAAGTATGTTCTACCAGCGCTAAGGCAAGTCACATGACCCAGCCCAAAGTCCAGTATAGTGCACGGCTCCCAGAGTGAGGGTGAAAAGGGAGTGCGTACTTGTAGAACAATGATCTTTCTGACCGTCAGTGGGAAAGTGGGGCACAGCATTTTACCTAAGTCCTGGTGCTGATATTTGAATGATTTTCATGTCCTAAGAGTAAAAGTACCTATAATATATATACTATATATACACATTTACTATAAATACCTAAAGTATACTATAATACCTATAGTACTCCAGGATTCTGCTGAGTTTCTTCACAGGTTATTCCATTTAGCCTTGTAACAACACTAAGAAGATTTTTATAACCCATCTCACATATAAGGCCATAGGCCACAGAGCTAGTAAATGGAAAGTCTTAAGAGTGGAACCCAGTTTTTTTCTGGCAGCCTTCAAGTGCTTTGAATATTAGGTCACATTATTATTTATGTATTTTTTTGTCATGGCAAATCAAGCATTTATCTCTTTGGGGAAAATATCATTGCTACACTGTTCCTATTTACCCCAGAAGCAGGAAGAGCTGCGCATCGTTCTTAATATTCAAATTGTTTGCTCAAATGGATTCTCTTGAATATTTGGACGGATGAGTCAGTTTGGTTGCTCAGCAATGCTTTGGAGGTTTCTGGGCTAGAGAGGTGGAATGTTCCTGCTGCTGGAGTGTGACTGGACTGTCTTTACTGTGTTAAATGTCCAGCTGTCCTTTGGGATGGGGCCGTGGGGAGGGAGGATGGAGAAATCAGGAATTCCAGCCAGGAAATGCTGCCTGAAGAGGACTTCAGATGGGTCTACAGATGGTGTTCTCCCCCCTTCTGAAATACCCTGTCCACCTAAATGTTAGCTTGTTTGTTCTCGGTGCTTAGCAAACACTGTTGTGCCAGGCACATGCGTAGTAATGTAGAGAAAGTAGACTGAGCACTGGGGATGACTGGGTGACTCCCGTGAACCTGTCTTTTTTTTTTTTTAAATATTTTTATTTATTTATTTGACAGAGGTCACAAGTAGAGGCAGATAGAGAGGAGGAAGCAGGCTCCCTGCTGAGCAGAGAGGCCAATGTGGGGCTCAATCCCAGGACCCTGGGATCATGACCTGAGCCGAAGGCAGAGGCTTTAACCCACTGAGCCACCCAGGTGCCCCATGAATCTGTGTCTTAACAGGTGATTCTGATGCCCACTCAAGTTTGAATACGACCATGTTAGGCCACCAGGTGGTGAAGGCCAGTGGCTTCTGTCCATATTATTATTATTCACTCATTTACTTCCAGTTGGAGGAGGGTTCCTACTAGTCCTTGGGGAGGACAGGCCAGCCTCAGAGAAGCAACAGTTGTCACTGGACCTGTGAAAGACTCTGGGAGACTCAGGGTCCTGCTTCCTGTGCAGGGGCCTCTCTGCCCACGTCCAGGCTTCCCTCCAGGGTCCCAGCGTCCTCAGCCTTGGCACTGATCACGTTTTGTGTGAGATAATTCTTGGTTGCGGGTGGCTCTGCACTGTAGGGTGTTTGGCAGCATCCCTGGCCACTGGCCACCGTATGCCAGTAACAACCTCCCCCCACATTATGACGATCAGAAAGGTCTCCTGGGGGAGAAACCTACACTGTTCCCCTCCTCCTCTTTGGCTCTCAGGACAATGAGTAATCCAGAAGCAAGTGGTGTGACTGGAAGGAACGGGGGTGTAAGGCAACAGTAGCTTTGAAGGTTGGCCCCTCCAACGACTAAACATTGACTTCTTTCCCTGTCCCCTCTGCACTCCCAGTCTTCCCCAACCCAAAAAAGCGCACACCCACATACATTATTTTCGTAAATGACTTTTACTTCTTTATCATTTCTCTTGACAGTAATTCTTGGCAATGTGCATATAACATGAAGGCAAGCATAATTTTCAGAAGTCATCAAAGATATGGTCCTATTGTCCTCATTTTCTTAAACCATTAAAATATTTTCATTTATAAAAATTAATCTAAATATAAATATTGACACTGAAGATCAAAATCACTTGATGACAAAATAATTCTTCTGAAACTATAACATATACTTATGGTTTTTAATAGTAAATTAAATATTTGCACTTATTTGGCACAAGGAAACCTTTATAAAATTTCAAATGCCATAGAGCAGGCTTCTTCTTCTTTTTTTTTTTTTTTTTTTTTTTTTTTTTTTTTTTTTTTTTGCAAGGCTTACACAGTTTACACATTTTTGTCAAAGAAAACTGAATATTTTAACACTGTAACACAACAATAGTTGCTTTTCATGCCTCTTAAAGAAAACATTCTATTTGGAACTCAGATCTTTTTTTGTTGTGTTTTTAAAATTTGTATTTGTCTGCTTTGAGTCACACCAACAGAAAAAAAATCCAAAGACTTAATTTCCAAAGAGTCATTTCTGTTGGGTAACACATACACAGCATCAGCAGGGAGTATCACTGGAAGATAGGTAGACCCCCGTCAGGAAGGGATCATAACACACATCTCAGCAGCTAATCAGATCTGGGAATGTGCGTAGCAGCGAAAGAATGTAGAAGTTGAAACAAACATGGAGTGAGGCTTTTGTGAAGCTTTCCAATTAGACTTAGTTTCAAGGTGTGACTTGGGCAAACTAATCTCTTTGGCCCCCTCTGTTTCCAAATCTGAAAAATGGGGACACCTACCAAAGAGGGTTGCTCTAAGTATTAAAGTTAGAAGAAACTGCCTTCCTGAAAGCAGTCACTTAATACATTTCGGTCAAACTATCCCCTTGCTTCCCATGATTTGCTTCCTTTGATTCAGAATGTCTCAGGGACAGATTTAAGAAAGGTTGTAAATGTTCAATTCATTGTGTGAAATTCCATTCCATTTGTCTTTATAAACACACTCCACATAGTCATGCATTTGAGACCAGGAATGTGGAGCTCGCGTCAGCTCTTGTGTCCACTAAATTCAGTTTATCCCTGCTTTTTTTATGCCTGTTTTTCCCAAGGTGATTCTTTAATCATGTTTACTTTTAAGGCCATTCTATTACTTTTGCTGAATATTTATTTGGGAAATAAATTTTGGGGACAATTTCTCACGTGGTTATTGTCTGCAAGAATCCATTTACCCAAACCCCATAAGACGCATGATCATTGCTAAACCACATCATGTGGATTCTGGACAGTGCCCTAAAGTTAAGCCAATGGTAGGCGTTCTCAAGTTCCACCCCCCTTCAGAGTGGGGAGACTGTCCGTAAGTCCAGGGAAGAGTCTCGAATTCTCAATGAGACCTTGTTTCAGATAGGCCTGGACATGGCATGAGTGAGGCAGAGCTTCCACTTCGTGGCTTGTGATGGCAAAGCGAAGGGAATGACTGGTTGTGCCAGGTGCGGGGGAGGTTGGAACTGCCCAGGAAGGAGGTGGCTGAAAGGCAGCATCCTCTCTGGGTGCACGCTCCCCAAATGGGACAGTCCTGATGTTCACTACAGGGACGTTTGCACTTTTTTTTCCTTAGCACTTGTGGGACAAAGATGCTTGTGAGAGATTAGCAAGACCTGATGATGAATTAAATGATGATACAGATCTCCCTTCCTTCCACCCCCCAGCCCCCAGTAGTTTTCCTCTGGACAAATAACTGTTGGCACGTACTTCTGCTTGAATGAGAGGGACCAAAAAAACCCCAAAAAAACAAAAACAAAAACAATCTTAAAGACAACACACAGTAGCAAAGCGGATAGGGAAAAGATGCATCTTTTGAACACGGAGCTCTGCTGTTGGAAGCCAGCGTCTCAGTTTGCTGTCTGGGATTCCCCTGGGAGCCTAAGGCAGAGAGTGGGCAAGCCGGCAGCGCCCAAGTCCAGGACTGCTTGCTGGGTGAGGTATCGGGACAGCCCTGTGCAGTGGTGCACCATGGCCTCCCCAGGCCCTCTCCTCGGGTGGAAATCCGCACAGTATTTGATGGCTGTGGGGTCAAGGCACTGTCGTGTACGGCCGGAGGCAGTGGGTCATTGGCAGTGGAGTCCCGGGGCGCTAATACATCACCGCTGACTCCAGAGTGGGCTCCTGTGGGGAGACAGAGGGTGCTGTGGCTGTTTAACACTCTCTCTCGCCCTCTCCTTCTATCCCTCCACCCCACAGAGAGGGAACAATTCAGTGGCATTTGCTACACTCACAATGTCATGTGGCCACCACCTCTATCTAGTTTCAAAGCCAACCGTGCCTCTAAAGTAAAGCATCTTACCCACCAAGTGCTTTCTTCCTATGGCCCCTCCCCACAGCCCTTAGCAACCACTAATCTATGTTCTATCTCTAGGAAAGGTAACGTTTTTAACTATCTTATTTATAACAGATTCCTTCCCTGGCCCTAATGGTCTGCCTTTTAAAGTGCGATAAACACATCTTTTTAGCTCTTTGAAGTAACAGCCAGGAGCAAGGTAACTGGACTTTAAAAGGTCAGGGATAGTGGCTGAGCAGTGAAGAAGAGGCAGTGGGCAGAGCTGTTGCCATGTGATGCCCAAGAGATGCAGTGATTTGTAACCCCAAAGGGCATGCCCACCATTATGCTGTTACTTGGGGCTCCTGCTCTCAGGGGACAGGGACCATGAGGCAGAGGAAGGGGAAGGGAAGAATGGGGATGCATAAAAGGCAGAAGAATAAACTTGCCCTTGCTTCAATCTTGTCACCCAGATGTCATCTGTCCTCAGTGTAATGGTACCACGGGGTCAGTTCAGCTGAATTATCACTTCCCACGGAAGCCCCACCAGGCATAGGTAGGTGTTTAGTCAAATGATCTGTTAGCCCTCTGTACAAGCTCTCCAGAGTTTGTGCAAATTATCTACTGTCCCTTCCTTTGTGTTTCGGGACAGCTGTTGAACATTTTTTTCAGGAACACAACAAGTAATTAATGACTCACAAGAAATTTAAGGATGAGTGAATGTGGATCAAAAACAGGATACAAACTCTGACACCTCAACCAGACCTTACATTCCTATGTACCCATTTCTAGTTCTCTCATATCAAACCCTACAAGGAGTTGCGAGGATGTATCCCCATATCAAAGAGTTAGCAATACCAGGCAGGGTGCTCATCGCTTCTCATTGGCCCACTTACCCGCCAATTCCCTGACCAACAGACCGTGAGACCAGGCAGGAAGGATGCTTCCTGGGGCTCTGATGGAGGAGCTGGGGACAAAAGGGCTACAGAATGGAGGCCTCATCTACAGTGCAAGTGATGGTCATCGAGACACAATTTACCATCAAATCCTTGGTGGTGTTTTTCCTTTCATTAGTCCTGTTTGTCAAGGAGCCTTGGAGAACGAAGTTGCGGTTAAATGTTTTCGTGGTGGTCACTGAAGATGCCTCCATGTTTTCAGCTAAAAGGAAACAGATGGAAATGAGTGGTACCCAGAAGCGGGCCGAATGTTGAGGAAGAAAGACCAAGTGTCCCCGTGACCCAGATTTTGGTTCTAGGTTTGGTATCTCATTCCAGTCTACAGGTATGACTGCAGAAGTTTTTAATTTTATGTTTATTTTTATGATACACACCAAACAAATTCAAGACTCATTAGCGGCTTTCCAGGAAAAGGTAGTTTGGAGATAATCCACCATAGTTCATAAATTCTTTATTTATTTTTCTTAAGGTAAGCTCCATGCTCAGCATGGAGCCCAACACAGGGCTTGAATTCATGACCCTGAGATTAAGACCTGAGTTGAGATCAAGAGTCAGATGCCTAACCCACTGAGCTACCCAGGCACCCCATGCATAGTTCATAAATTCTTATTTGCAATTCTGGAATATAAAAGGCTTTCAGGGTTGAAAATCCTTATAACTTTGGGGCCAAAATTGTCCAATGGTCAAACCTGACTTACACTGACATATGACCATTTAAAATCCTTGTCCATCCCACTGAGAGTGAACATTCTCATGTTTTGGTGCAAGGATATTAAAGTGTTTATCAGCTGCTGCCCCAGACACCACGGGGCAGGGGCTATTAGGAAATATACTGTCCTTGTACCATATTACTTTTCTAACGTCCAGGATATTCTGAAACATATACTTATCCAAGATTTCAAATAAGGGACAATGGATCTGTAATACATTGTAATTGTATAAGGTTTTCAATTAGCAATAATCGTGCCTCAGATAAACCTCATTGGCTATGATACTGCCACTGCGCAAAGCTTGTATAAGGTTTTACGGATTCAAGAAATGTTGAACAAAGAATGGTGGAGCCAAGACTCAAACATATCTTCTGACTGTCTACTCTTCTGATTTGTAGATCTAAATTCCTAGTTTGGCATCATCATATGTGGCTCTTAAATCCAGGGAAATTGTTGAAAACGCCCAGTGGATGAGGAGGACACCACCGGCATTGCTGGAATCCCCTGTGGGTTGTGCACTGTGTTAGATGCCTCTGGTGCCCTGCCCACATTTCCCTGACATGCCACACATTCTGGCATCCAGCACATTCCAACAGCATGCTTCTGCGAGCACTGTCACTTTCTCTTGGCTCGTGTATGGGGTGGGGCAGAAGTACCAGGGAATTAATGCCTCTCCGCCGCCCCCTCCCCATAAATGTCAGGGGATGACAGCTGAGAGTTGAAATCCTCATCTTCCTATTCAGACTGTGAGGTGCCATCAGTACTGTCTCCCAGGGATGTCTCCAGGGGCTCAGTTGGTTAAGCGTCTGCCTTCGGCTCAGATCATGATCCCAGGGTTTTGGGATCCTGCTTCTCCCTCTGCTTGCTGCTGCCCCTGTTTGTGCTTGCACACACTCTCTCTCCCTCTCTCGCTCTCTGACAAATAAATAAATAAAATCTTAAAAAAAAAATACTGTCTCCCAGAAGTCCTCAGTAAATCCTGCTGAGTATTTCTGGAAGACAGTATTTTAGTCTCATTTGCCTGGAGAAATAAACTACAAATTATATTGTATTGCATTGACTTAATTTCCTTTCCTGAATCATTTCTCTCCTGTCCTACCAGTTTCTTGGAATTGCTTCCCAAATCCCGTCTTTGTCTCGGGGTCTGCTTCTGGGGGATTCAAGTCAAGATAGATTCTTCACAAGAGCACTTCTGGTGAGAACTCTGTATTAGATCCAGTCCTCAAACTCAGATCGCTGAGTAACTCAAAGTAAGTCAGGCTTATTTCTTTGGTAGTTCTGCGGTTTACTTTAAGCACACCTTTCACTGGTGGGGCAGGCAGTTTCCTTCTCTGCTGCCTTGATGTGTCTATGGTTTGTACCTACAAATAGAACACAGCTGTCAACACACCTTCGCAAAGACAAAGATATTTGATCTAAATTTTCCAGGTCGTGCAATATTCCAACAGACGAAGTAAGGGACAAACGCACCTGGTTCCTTTGCTTCTGATCTCGTTTTCTCGTGAGGCGCACACACGGTGCTATGTTTAATCCGGCAATGGTCAGAGCTGAAATCCGGCTCTCGATATCAGAAATCTTAATGCAACAGAAAGACAGAATCAGCAGGGGGAAAGCACAGGAGGGGAGAATCTTTGTTAGAAATGACAGGAATCTATAAGGAACAAATCTGCTTTGATGTATACATTCAACTTCTTTTTTATTCTTTTAAGTAATCTTTACACCCAATGTGGGGCTCAAACTCACAACCCCAAGATCGAGAGTCGTATGTTCTCACTGACTGAGTCAGGCAGGCACCCCTCATTTGTCCAACTTCTACCAAGCCCTTCTCTATCTAGTGCTGTAATAAGAAAATAAAACACAGGCCTTCCTTTGTAAATTTAAATGTCTAGTTTGGTAGCTCTAGAGAATATCAACACCCTTGCCAGGGATATATCTCTAGGGATAAGTGGAAGCCCAGGGCATGATGGGAGCCCTGGCCCAGCATGGTGGGGAAAGGGGCGGGGGGTGGTCAGGAAGGCTTCCAGAGCGGGCCACACTTGATTCGAGCTTTGAAAGGCGAGTATGATTTGTAGGTCCTTCTTCGTTCTTCCATGACTCTATGAGCCAAAACCACAGCACAGACTCTTAGGAGGGAGGCCCAGCAGTCCCTGGTTCCAATCCATTTCTTTCATTAAAAGGACAAGTGCCTTGAGAAACTCCCTCTTCTCTCTGGGCATCAGTTTCCTGGACCATAACATCAGATGGTCAGAGAGAGTTCAGATTACTTTTCAAGAGTCTTAAGGCAGATACAGAGAGCAAGAGCCCAGTCAGTGCCCAGAAAGAACCCTAACCCACCCATGTCCCCAGGGATGGAGAAAACGTAATCCCTGCTCTTAGAAAAGAGCAATAATCTAGCCGTCACCCTGCTAAGCATTTTGAATATGGGAACTCATTCATAAACCTATGACAGAGGTACCATTCTCTCGGTTCTATGGATGAGGCATCTGTGGCTCAGAAGGATAAGTAACACAGCCAGCACTTCACAGCTGGTCTGGGGCAGAGCTCCGAACTCATGCCAACCCTCATGCTCTTGCCATGCTGCCACATTCTAAGAGGACCTGCCAAAGCCTGGCATGGGGGACACGGGGAGAGGCAGGAGCAGGCTAGCGGAGTGGAAGGAGGATGTGGGGATCACAGCTGCCTTGCTGATCTCCGGACACAGCCTGCACGTTGCCAGGGCATCAGACAAGGAACCCAAAAGTCGGCCCAGCAGCCAATCTGTGTGGACCCTGAGTTCTCTGTCCCCGTCCCTATCCCTCCACTCTCTTGAGCTGCTCAGGCCAGATTCGAATTCTGCTGTCATTTACTAGGGACCTCTTCAGAAAGAGCCTACTGGGACAGAGGCTGCAGAAGTGCAGAGAGAAGGACTGAAGGGTTGGCGAATCCCCGAGGTCCATCCCCTATCCCCAAGTGGGGGTAGGGGGTAGTCTTGGTCAGAAGAGGAAGAGGAGGAGGGAGGAGGCCAAGGCTGTGCAACCGGTGAAATACTCCAAGCTGCTCCCAGGGGAGACACTGCGCAGCCCCTGCCCCTCCCTGGCCCCCAGATGCCTTCTTGTTCTGACTCCTCAAATTTCATATTGAAAGCTGCATTCCTTTAGCTTATAGACCAATAAATGGCACAGCCCCCTTAGACAGGCTGCAGGCTAAACATTTTTTTTTTAAGATTTTATTTATTTATTTGACAGACAGATCATACGTAGGCAGAGAGGCAGGCAGAAAGAGAGAGAGGAGGAAGCAGGCTCCCTGCTGAGCAGAGAGCCCGATGTGGGCCCGATCCCAGGACATTGGGATCATGACCTGAGCTGAAGGCAGAGGCTTTAACCCACTGAGCCACCCAGGTGCCCCAAACTTTTATCAGTTATGTGCAGCTGGTGTGGATTAGATTCCCATGGTTTCCCTGGAAGCTGTTTGGATGGAGGCCCTTGCTCATCAGGCCCTGAGAGACGGATCAATGGGAGAGCGGGCTGCTCATCTCCTGATCTGCTGACTGTCAGGCTCTGGAATAAGAAAGGGTTAATTTTTTGAGTTTTAGATCAGAGGGCACAAGCCAGAGAAAGAGGAAGGAGGCCTACTGAGGGCTGATTTTGCCTACATTTTGCACTCTCTCTCTTTCTCTCTCTCCCCTCCATCTATCCACCTAGTTGTGCTCCATTTCATTCCTAAGACTGCATATCCAATGGCCCTTACACTTGTTAGGGGGGATGACCAATTCAGCTCTGAGTTTCCCGGGAGCCAAAGCAAAGAGCAGTGTAGGATAAAGACCGAATGCTCAGAAGAACAGCTTTTCCCGGTACTGAGAGTTAAGAGAGAACTTCCCCCAAGAAACCCATAGAGATGATGCCACATGATATAGTGGACAGCACCATAGTATGATAGACCCCCGCCGCATGGGTCATCCTGCAATCTCCCAGAGCACTGGGCAATCTTGTGCCAAGGGTGATAGAGTCCCTAGACTCTGACCTAATCCAAGAACACAGTTTAGCACATCTACCCTTCTCCGTGGGGACAACTTTGGATGAGAATAGACAACAGGGAGTGAGAGGCTTCATTTTCTGGGGCAGCTGGCAGCAGGGAGAGAGTCTCCATGGTACTGCAGATTCCCATGTTGTGAAGATCTGTAAAACTGAAGGCAGCGTTGACAACCTCCCTTGCAAATTAAGGACTCCTGTGCAAGTGGATATGTGTCTGATGGCAGGACCAACACATTTCTCAGAAAACCACGCAGCACAGCCTACAGAATGTGGCTGTGAGGTCAGAAAGACAGGTTCAAATCCTGGCTTTATCACTCTTTAGCTATTTGGCCTTGGGCAAGTGGTTTAACCTCTCTGAGCCCCAGTATCCCTAGGAAAAAAAAGGGGGAAAATAACAGCTATGTCATGGAGTTGCTGAAAGGATTGATTACAATAATGAGTTTAAGTGTCGAGTACAACTCGTGGCACCAAGTAATGATCGCTGAACACTAGGTATTATTGATAACATTACTGTCATATTTTAAAATGTATAAAGATGAGGCACATTCAAACACAAAGAACATAGTCATTTTGGACTCCAGGATTTTCTGCCATAAAACATGGTTCTGATAATTTAAGACTAGAAATATCTAGGAGCAGGAATAACTGTCCAGTAAAACCCTGCCAAACACCCATACATGATGTTATTTCCTGCTAAACCACTCAAGAGGTTTTGGCCCAAACTGTACCTCAGAAAACAAATGATTTTATTCTACTTTGTATAACTTTGACCATAAATTGATTACACGTCGGGTGGTATTTCTGGAAAATGATTTGTATTTGAGGAGAGACGCTCTTCAGCCATTCTTGCTGATAATGAATAGTCGACGGGGCCGTGTGCAAGGAGACCACTCCTAGAACACAGCATTAATCCTTCCACAGGCTGGAGAACGGGCGCCCCCCATTCTCGAGAGGGCTTAATGCTGCCAGTGGCTGTAGGGATTTTTGAATCTCTAAAACAAAAATATTTATTTAAGAAATAATTACCACTTGAGATCATCATCTTCCCTGTGCACAGGTGGTTTCTACTGACCCCAGTTCCCCTAGGATGCAGTTTTAAGATGCAAGGTCTGTAGAAATCGCACTGAGCCAGAGGTCTACACTGAACGTACACTACAGAGACCAGCATGTCTCATGGACCCCAGTTTGAGAATCAGCGACTTCGTCCACAGTCCACTCTGATTCAGTCAGAGGCCATGGGACTACCCATGAAAATGTCAAACTCGTGTCTTCACAATGGTACAGATAACATCATTTCAGTTCTGAATCCGCCATATCTAAGTCATGCAAAATACTGGTCTGTGAAATCTACAATTTCATTTCATTCGTTTATTCACCCCATTTTTATTGAGTGCCAAACCCATGTCCAGTATTATGTTAGGCACTGGAGTTTCTGTGTTAAGCTAGGCAGCTGTAGTCCTGCCCTCGTGGGGTTTTTAGTGTATAGAGGGAGAAACTGCCATCAAGTAAGTAATCAACAGTGTGATAAAGGTTAGGGAGGGGAGGTCTTGGGATGGAATGGGAACCTATATAGCCAGGAGACCTACCTGTGGGACAGAGAATTCATCGAAGAGAAAGGTGACATAGGTTTAAAGAGAAATCTGGTATATTATCAACGCTGTAATTTTTAAAAGTCATATTTGATGGAATCGACACAAAAGGACCATGCAAGCATGCCAGAGAATGTGCCAGATAGACAGGCTCTGCAATCATTCTTGTGGAAGTCAGGGTGCATTCTCCCCTTTCATGAAGATGCTCCATCTGGGCAGAGAGGGAGTTCTTACCTGGAGCTCAGCATGGTGGACCTGGGCTGCCGCCGTGGCCACCTGGTCCTCCAGATCTGCCAGCTCGGTCTCATCGGTGCCACTGTGGATGCAGCGGGCGGCATCCTCCAGCTCATTCAGCTGGCCTTCCAGTCCGTACACGGTGCCTGCCGCCAGGTACACCTGCAGGGGAGGCACAGCCTCTGAGCTCAGGTTTTGGAACTGGGATTGGTGGGGTCTTTTCAGGGCACCCCAGACAGAACCAGGCTCAGCCTAGGGGGAAAAGTCAGGGAATGCGCCCAACTGAAATGGTAGCATGAAGTCTTACTACCCCCTCACTGTCAACCACACCTACCACTCCCCCAAACTTTCCTGCAGGAAAAAGCAACTTCTAAGTCTTGAAAATATGATAAACTAGTCCAAAGTACAAGGTGTCAGCTACATAAATTGCAAATTTTTCCAGTGATTATAACAGCCATAATGCCAAGACAGAAGACACAAAGAAAAACCAATGGTGTGATTTTTCCAAGAAAAATTTTGGTTGGCATTTAGCAACTGAAAAAAAAAAAATCAGAAAACATAAAAGAGATGAAATTAATTTAAAACAATTCCACATTTTGAGTGAATTAACTCTGATTGATGACCTTCGGCTTGCTTGAAGCTGGTTAAGAGCATTAAGATGAACCTGAAATGTGTAGTAGGAAAATAGTTGATTTCTTAGCAAACTGTGTGATGTTGAAAGAAACATGTCAAATGTATTTATCCGTCAATGAAGACAGTTTTTTGAGAGTCCTTGAAAATTAAAGAGAAAATTAGTAAAGGGAATGATCTGAGGAAAAATTAAAGGGAAAAAATTTGACTCATGAGTTTATAAGGCAATTGCCATATAAGTAAGCAAACAGAAGGTAGAATCGTTGGGATAATTCAGACTGAGGGATGCCGGCCAGGGTGAGCGAAACAAATGTCCTTCAGCCTAGATAGTTACAGGATGCAACAACCAAGTACACAGAATGAGACTGATCCAAAAAAGCTAATTACTTAACGAGCGGTTTTTGAAACTTAATCAACATATGTAAAGCTCTAAACATGTAATCACAGCAATTTAGAGTCATTTGAATGAAAACACACGGTCACACATGCTCTTTTAACTTGAGTTAAAAAATAAAACAGGATAAGCCAAGAGCTTGAGCACACAATTCACGCAAGTGTTTTGCACTGAGCGACACCAAGTGTTGGTGAGGAAGAGAACGCTGAGGTGCTCCTACCCCGTCCATTCTCTGGCCTGATTCACACATCTGAATTAAAACTGACAATTTTACAAAACATTTCAAAGTGGAACAAAGGAAGGGGCAGGTTTGATGAATGTGCATTTGTGCCACGCCAGGCACGATGAGCTGGGCTGGGGGAGCCTCCCGCAGTGACGGGCACAGTGGACGCCATGTTAAGTGATTCTTCAGTCAGAAGGGGGCCATGAATCAAATGTCTGTCAACGACTGCCATAGTTCCATCTGCCCCTAGTTTTGTCCTTCTTTGTCATATGCAAGAATCAGAGAACTTCTGTTTCTAAAAGATCCTCACAGTTAATATAAGACATTTATTCTTTGTCTTGAAAACAAAATACACTCCTTTGTTGTTTGTCACACGAAGGAAATGAATCTTTCAAAGCTATTTGAGTGGAGAAAACATTAAGTATTTGTGTCTCAAAAGTTACAAAGTTGAAAACTCCTCTTCAGAGGGGAAGAAAATCGAGGAAAGAGAGAAAGAGACAGGCAGGGAGAGATGATAAAAGGCAAATGATGAGATCACTTTAAATTCAGATTTACAGGGTTGTGCAATGAAACAAAATTTGGAATGATCATTTAAATGAAATGAATAATTTGAGTGAGTATGGCAATAGGGCTAAACATAACTTGTCATAACTTTGGTCTCAAGAACCTTGATTTTTCTGGAAACACACAAAGCTCAACATCATCACATCCCACAGCTGTGTCATCTTAACCGTCTCTTGTTTTGTTTTCAACGTGGTCATCTGCTAATATTCTTTGTTTTCTCTGCCAACTAGTTCCAAGCCTTCAGCAAGGCCAGGATGTTCCCTGAAAGCGTGCTTTCCTGGTATGAGGGGGTGAGGGAAGATTCTGTGGTTTGGCCCTGATGCGGGCTGAGCAGGAACACCCCAACAAGGTGATGGTGCCTAATGGGCTGGTATTGGCGATGATGGTGACCACACATATTTATTGAGCCAGGCATTAAGCCAAGGGTTTTATGGGACATTTCTCCTTCAATGTTCGTGGCAATCCCTGAGGTGCGTGCTATGATCATCATCACTGTCTTAAAGAGGAGAACGTTAGATCCTGGAGGTTAAGTGACTTCCCCATGCCTCAAAGCTGGGAAGTAGTAGACTCGGGATTTGAGCTCCTGGGGGCTGATGTCAGATCCCATGTCTTTATCTGCCCTGTCCTCTGATGCCCTAATACTTAATCTCGCTTGCAACATTATGACGTTTTACACTTGAAACTCTGACCTAAAGGTCTTGAGTTATTGTGGTTATAGATCAACCTGACGTTGGTTCTGTTGCTGGGGGTGAAATAACACAAGTTAACATGCTATGATAATGGAATGCTATTCTAGTCTTAAAAAAACAATCCTTTCGAAAACCATTAACCTGGAATTGCTGGCTGAGTAAAGGCTCACTTTTGGCAAGAACCATGGCTACCATGTCTGTGTACACTATGTCTTCTCCAAACTCCAGCCACTGATGCCCATGACACCATGGACTGGCTCCTGGTTCAACTCAACTTCCTCAAAGTGGTTCAAGAAACAAGAACAGGTATTTCACTAAGGAAGGACTTTGTGGTCAAAGCTTCAAGCGTAAAGAAAATCAAACAGATTTCTTTGCTGCAGTACTTCTCAGAGTCTTTAATATGCTAACACGTCTCTCAATTTTCCTAGAAAGACTATACATCTTGCTGAAACCGATCTGATTTTATAGTATCCTGTTGGACTTGCCTTCCATGAAACACATTCTAGAGGACTATGCCTAAACAGTAATTGATAGCATTTCTTTGCTTGCTCTGGAAGGCAGAGGACCATCGAAGTAGCCAGGACCATCTCCACAAGGCCCAGGCCCATGTCCTCTCCTGTGCCACGGAGAGCACCCGAGAGCCTTGAGAAGGAGGACCAACATCCTCTGCCTGCTCCCAGATTCTGTGACAGGGCTGGGCTCCCTCCTAGGGCAGTTCTACTGTGTCTGAGGCCACTAAAGATACATACCATGGGATATGGTGTTGCCAAAAGTTACAGGGCAGCACTACAAAAGAAGTTGGGCTGTTCCTGCACAGCCTCTGTGTTGGGAATTACCAGGTACCCCAGGCTGTTGGTCATTTAGCAAAGAAGAGAATGAGGAAGGTCTTCCCATGGTGGTGGGAGGTGGGAGGGAGCCCACTCCTCCCTCCCACTCATAGCCCTGCCTAAATCCCACAAGATGGCCTCTGTGGGTCCCTACTCCTCACACCAAGGGTCTGAGAATGGTCATGCCAGTGGTTCTGTTGACCCCTAGGTCCAGTTCCCACCCTTCTCTGCCCCGCCCTCTTCTCTGTGAGGCTGACCTGCGTGAGCCTCATCATCCAGGCGCCCTTGCTGGCTGGGATGGGAGTTTGGCCACTGGGAGACAACCGGCAGGAGATGGATGGCAGGAGGAGGAGGAAGTTACTCTCCTGGCCCCTGCTCTCTCCTAGTGCGGGCTTCTTGGTGACAGCTCCCACTAGGGGGCGCTCCTCCAGGCTCCTGCTCTCCGTGGACCTCACAGCCCCGTGTGGGGACCACTCCCCCCCCACCCCCCGCTCCCCAGCCCCCACTGCCACTTTCTGGGGCTACAGCCTCCCTGAACCTTACCCACACCTCAGACAATAGTCCCTTCCTGAAACCGTGGTAGCCAATGTCCAGAAGGTTAGAGTAGGTGTCTCCGTTTCTATTTCTGGCGCTCCAGGCTCCTCGGCACAAAGGAGCAGGGCCGCCGAGGACAATGAAAAACGTAGGAGCGCCCTTTGGAGCACAGACAGACAAAAAGCCCCGGTTTAATTAAATCCGCGGCACCCAGAGGCCCGCTGAAGAATCAGCCCCGCCCTTCGGCGGCTCGCTGAATTCCGTCCTGGAAAACGCGGAGCAGAACCAGCCCCGGGGCTCTGTGATCGTTGTCTCTAAAGAGATAAAGAGAAGAGTCAGCCCTTCTCTGACTCAGAACCACAGAATTCAAAGGAACGGAGATGTTCTTCTGAGGCGCGATGTGGAAAGCTGGAAGGGGGAAAGGAGGAGGGGGAAGCAGCAGTTAACTCTTGGGGAGCAGGGGTGCAAGGAATTACAAACCCCCACCTTAGAGCGCTGGTCCCTGCTGGGGTTTCTGACATCTCACATCAGCGGGTTAAGTGGATGTGTTTCCACCGGAAAATGTTAAGGAACCCAAGGAAAGAAACATAGTGTATAATAAAATGATCTTACAAAAGGAAAACTCCCACAAAGCCACTGCATTTTCAACATGCCCCTTGGAGGAAAAAAAAAAGGCATGTTGTCTTTGCTTTAAGTGTTCCCAGGGAACCCACAGTCACCTCTTAAATCTGAATGTTTCATGTAATGCATTTTTAAAAAATACAATACTTGGTAAAAAACCAGCCCTTTCCTGGTGAGCCATATCTTGACTTTAACTTTTTCTGCTCTGCGTGTCCAGGGTTAAGGCTATTTTTAGAACTATCAATACTGAAAGAACTGTATTGTAGACATATTTAAAGAACAGAGACCCTCCATGTTAGCAATAAAACATTTCTTTCCAAGAAAAGAAGTTCATTCGACTGAACCATGTATCAGGTAAACATTCTTCCAGCACCTCTGCGTCAAGCTCTGGGCAAGGGCTGGGGCTACTCAGGGGAAAGATGGTGTTCTGCAGGAATTCATACATCGGATTCCTAATCTGGGGATGACTGGGCTCCTGCCTCCGTGCCTCTCCCCCTCCAATATTTGACAATGTCTGAAGACATTTTGACTGTCATATTTTTTTAATAAACATTTTCTTTTCTTTTTTCTTTACCTTTCCTTTCTTTTTCTTTCTTTTTTTTTCTTTTTAAAGATTTTATTTATTTATTTGAGAGACAGAGAGAGAGAGAACACAAGTGGGGTGAGGGGCAAAGGCAGAAGCAGACTCCCGGCAGATGAGGGAGCCCGACGTGGGACTCGATCCCAGGACTCTGGGATCAAAACCTGAGCCGAAGGCAAACACTTAACCGACTGAGCCACCCAGGCACCCTGACTGTCACAGTTTGATGTCATCCTCATCTCATGCGTAGAGGCCAGGGATGCTGCTGAACATCTTTCACCTAGAGGACACCCCCCACAACAAAGAATTATCGAACCCAAAATGTCACTGGTGCCAATCTAATGGGGACAGATGAATGGATAGAAAGGGCAGTAAAGGGAGGTAAGGGGCAAACAGACCTCTACTTAGGTTTTATGGGAATTCCAAGGGAGGGAGTCTTTAACTTTTAAGATAAAGCAACTATTGGCATTTTTTTAAAAACCTTGAGTCATTTTGATTTGTTGTTTCAACTTTTTGCAAAAATTACCTGTACTAACAGATCCTGATTTCTGAGAACTGTATTCATGACAGCACAATCAGGGTTGACTCTGCTGGGTCTGGAAAGATGGAACCACCTGAGTCCATGGGCAGGACTATGCCCACTGGTGACAGAGACTATGGCCCGAGTGGCTACTGTCCGAAGCTCTGTGCCACCCCCTAGTCTGGAGTGTTGGGAAATTCTCATCAGGAATTTATTAAAACACTCAAGAATGAGCGTGGATATTTATATGTAAGAATCTGGTACCTCCTTTCCTCCTCCCAAGTCAGACTAGAAAAATCCACTACCAGCACACAAGCCTGGAAGCAGGGTAGACCACTTGTGACCTATATTCTGTTGGCAACCACCCCCTTTCCCTGTGGCAGTGCTCCACCTGGATCCCAACTGGGTCCCTTTTACAGTTTCTGCATCCCCCCACCCCCACAAGAAGACACCGTCTGCTGCCTGTAGGAAAGGCCAATTCCTTTGCCGCAAGTCAGGACAACCCTGAGATGCAACTGACACCCTAGTGCTTCCTGCTGGATCAGGTCAAAGCTACTCTTCCTTTAAGGTCACACCTTTTTTGGGGCCCCTGAGTGGCTCAGTTGGTTAAGTGTCTGCCTTTGGCTCAGGTCATGATCCTGGGATCGAGCCCCATGTTGGGCTCTGCTCAGCGGGGAGCCTTTTCCCTCTCCCAGCTTGTGTGCTCTCTCTCTCTCTCTCTCTCTGTGTGTGTGTGTGTCAAACGGACAGATATCTAAAAAAAAAAAAAGAAAAAAGAAAAAGAAAAAAGGTCATACCTTCCCTTGACTTCTTCCCTTTCCCCATCTTTCCCCACTCCCTAAACAGCTTCCCTGGCAGAGTGCTTCCTAGGAAATCACTTGCACGCAAACCCACATTTCCAGGTCTGCTTCTGGAGAACCCAGCCTGTTGCCTCCCTGGGAATAGACCTGCTACGGTGGTAGTGTGTATGCATCCCTGCACTGTTTGGGATGGGCTACACCTTCATTGGTTTCTTCTTTCATCTGTTTGCCCTAGACAGGGAACACCCCCACTGTCTTACGTTTTCTTCCAGGGAAGTCAGCTGCTCATCCAGTCTCACTTGGTCTATCCCGAGAGGAAATGTCCCCTTCTCTCTGTCAGGAGGAACAGGTGGGAACTCCAAGGGCCCTGAGGACTCTGCTATCAGCTCCTCTGTGGCATTGATGACCTTCAAGACTTCTGTGGAGATGTTGCAGAGAGAAACAGCAGAATACTTCTGTTTGGTCCAACAACAGAAGGGGACAGAAGACAAGAACAGCACATTAACAATGACATGGAAATTTGACATCATCACGGTGCTCATCATGAGACTGATTCCATTATAACACACACAAACGTCCATGTGCCAAAAGAATGAGAAACTGAAAAGTCTACATGGCTGGAGGGCACCAGGAGGTGGCCTGATTTGACGTGGCCTGGCTTCTGTGATTCACATAATTATTTGATTCTGTCCCTCTACTGTCCTTCCCCTCCAGGGAAGAAGGAGACCTCAAGGGGAGGCTATTCCGTCCCCTGTCCGCTGCTGCTGGTTTTATCGCCAAAGCTCATTTTCTGGATGATATCCTACTTCTTCGATAGAGCTCCAGCCACAGACTCTGTCCAACCACAACCCTGGCTGGTCCATTAGGGAGCCTTCTGGACTGGGTGTTAAGAGACCTGGGTTCTAGATCTGGCTCTAACTTCATTTGATGATGGGATCTTGACTCAGTTACTGTGTACTTCTAGAACTCAGCTTCATCATCTGAACAATGAGTGTTGGAAGTGTTCCCCTGCTGTGTGTCAGTAGCTCCTGTGTGTTTAGCTCCCACACACCTGTTGTCAAGCCCGTTCTCCCTTCCTCTGCTCCACCATAGAGGCTGAATGGAGAAACACTCCATTTCCCTCATCTCTCACAGCCAGGGGTAGTGACGTGACACAGTTCTGCCCAGTAAGCCTGGCAGGAAAGCTTGCCCAGGGGTCTCAATGAAAGCTTTGGTTTTCTTAACCAGGTGAATAGATCCAGCTGATGCTCTCCTTCCCCACTCCTGTCTACCTTGATCACAGCTGTGCAGTTGTGACAAATGCCAAAATGCTGAGTAGCGTGGGTCAGAAAGCCTCAAAGAGCCGGGCCCAGACAGTTGCGGATCAGCTGAACCACTGTGAGGCACCCCTGCCTCTGAATATCTTGTTACATGAGGAAAATAGTCCCCTACCATTACTGTTGGCCAGATTTTCTGTTATTTGTAGCTGAATATAGTCCTCACTGACACAAGCTTTTACATTCAGGACTGAAAATTATAATCAGTCCAGATCTGGGCCAAGGTCACTGATGGAGAGAGGCACTGTCACCACAAAAAGTTATCCGCATCTTTAAGTTTGTCAGGAGAGAATGTCAAGCAGTAGGCTGGAGTCTGGTGTTTCTGGATGGCAATGGTTTCAATCTAGAACCCAGTTTATTTATCCCATCAAAGGGCTTGCAAACTGGAAGTCAAATATTGCCTGCTGCTGACTGGGGTGTCTGTGTGTGTGTGTGTGTGTGTGTGTGTGTGTGTGTGTTTACAATTTACCAGTAAAATGTTTCAAGAAAATCTGGAATTTTAATGCCTTTGGTACCTTCTAAGGTATTCATATATCCTGGCTAAAATATTAATGATGGCTATGGCTTGATTTTCCATTCCTCCAAGTAGATTCTACTTGCTAGAGGATGTTTTGATACCCCTTCCCGATTCGATGTGTTTAAATGACAAGTCACAGTCTAAAAGCTGGCTCTGGGCTTCCATGCTGAGGCACATGGTCTCGTATCTGTCAACCCTCTGTAGGGTTAAGGCTCGTGTGTCCAGAGTGCTCCCCATCCAGACTGTCTGCTCTAGAACAGCTGGCTTGGCTGACCTAAGAGCCACATTCCTTTTGGTTCAGGGGACTTTGCTACAAACCCAAACAAATGGGCCTGGGGTGTTGGGAGAATGGTATGGAAGGACGATGACGCAGACCCAGTGGAATAAGGTCAGTGTCCCTGGGAACAGCCAGGGTCAACGCTTCACCGGAGGAGAAACAGGGGCTGTCCCCTGCGATCCAGGATGCTATGACTCGCTGTGGCGGATTGTGAAGATGAATTGGGCTCAAAATGTTTTTGGCATTAAACAGCTGCCACTGTTTGCTTAAGTCCATTTTAGAAAAAGTGACGTTGTACGAATGAAAGCAGATTTGTCACCCTTCTCTCAGGACATAAGTTTGTGTTTAGAAAGTCTGTTCCTTATTTGGTAAAAGGGGTGTTCTTTGTACATTTTTTTTTAAAAGAAAGGCATATGACTAAGAGATTCAGAAAAAGACCACAGCACAGTAGAAGGGAAAGTGTGAAAATTAACACATCTCCAATTAGGACAACATTGTTAAAGGGTCAAGGTTATTAATGGGAAGGATTTAAGAGGTGTTTAAACTGGTCCTGTGTCCTGACTCCAACTGAACACATTACATCAAAGCGATAAGCGGGGCATCGCTGTTGCTTGGAGGTCATTGTTCCATTCTATCCATAAATAGCCTTGTTTATTCAACCATAGGGGTTGGAAGCTGGAAGCCAAATATTGCCCAGAGGTGTGCTTTTTAACAAGAATGGCTTCCACGAGACACGTACTTGCCAGATCTCTGCGATCCCCACACTGTTCCCCCTACATATTTTATTGGGGGTGGTCTATGGTGTGCAGGTCTATGGTCTGTTCCAGGTGCTGGGATAAAGTGGACAATGGGTAAAGCCCCGCCCTCATGGCATGCCTAGTCCTACGCCAGCCACTTGACAAGCAGACATACTTCAGGTACCCTGAAGGCATCTGCTTTTGCCACTAAGTCAGAATGTGGCAGTACCCGGCAGCTGGGCTGAAGAGGGCACCACAGCTTCACCTGGAAGCTCTGTGGTCTGGGGAAAGCCCTGGAACACTTCAGAAGCTGACTAGCCTCCAGCTGAGGGTAGTGGCAAAAAAAAAAAAAAAAAAAAAAAGTATATGCAAACTGGACAAGATCTCTGGTTGGTGAGCCAGATGGCAGGAGCACCCCTCCCCCAGTCTGGTGGGTGAGCTCTCAGAGGGGAAGTACACACTGCTATCCACTAGCCTTTGCAGGAATTCAGGGGCTCCTTGCCCACAACCAAGGACTGGGCTATTGGCTTGGATATGGAAGGGGGAGTGAATAGTGCACCTACCGGAAGTTAAGATACCTGGGATTTAATTAGTCCCATGACAGGAGCAGGGCTGCAAACCTCCCCGTTCCTTAGTTTCCTCACCACTCCAATAAAGGAAATCAGGGCTGATACCAGCTTGTTATGTAAATGTCCCACTCCCTGGCCAGTCTAGATTTAAAAGTAGAAAGCACCTTGTACAATTATGTTAAATAAAGCTATATTTAGCACTGGACAGGGTTTTGTTCAGATGAAAAGCTGGTGTGGACGGGGGTGCTGGCAGGAAGCCCTGTGTGTGGGAGAAATGAATAGCTAAAGGAACCTTCTGCTTTGTTGCTTACAGCCCCTGAGGGCGGAGCTGAATGGCACAAACAAAACACAATTTGAGAGCCCAAAGAGAGCTATTATGTAGCTGATGGTACTCCAGAGAGTAATTATAAGATGGATTCAATGTGACAGTTTCCTGGGATCAAAGAAGGGAGAGGTGAAAGTGTGGACATTAGCAGAGAGCATAGGGGCAATTACAGAACAGGAAGGTTGGTCTCCAGGATACTTGAGGCCAAGGGCCCCACAGATGATAGGATGGAAATGGCCATGCAATAACAAATTCAACCTTCTAGTGCTCAAAGAAATACAAATTAAATAATGAATTTTGTTAAGCGCCAGATACCCGTGCGATTCCCTTTTTAAATGCTTGGTGTGTGCCAACATGACTTGGTGCAGATGGGGCATGGTTTTCAGTGGTCACTACTGAGAGCCTGAGTGTCCCCTGCCAGGGTCAGTCTGTGTCCCAGCCCCATGTGGAACATCAAATCCATCATGCTGACCTCACTACCTCTGGGGTTGACCCAAACAGTCTACACTCGGGATACAGAAGGTAATGAGAACCACTCCGGTTTCCTTGATCACTCACCAGAGCCAGCACAGTAAGGAACCTCAGCAAGGAGTCATGTTTCCTGCTGCCTATAAGCAACAGCAGGACCAAGGCAGACCTTTCAGAAGGTTGCGGATCACTCTGGGGCCAGGGTCCTGCCAAGGTGGCCATTTCAATGGGCCCAAGAAAGCAGAAGAGCAGGGCAGGACCCGAGTCATAAACCCCAGCTGTCTCGTTCTTTTCTCTCTAGGGACTGCAGAGAGAAGCAAGATTTCTTTCCTTTTTGTCTCACTCCCCACAAACTTTAGCCGTGGTGATCTCTCCATCCTGTCCCCATGTACTCCCCCTTCACATAAAACATGCTGCCAGAACGAATTCCTCTTCCACTTACTCTTCCTTATAGACCGTTTGCCCAAGACAAGCAGAATGCAAGGTGTTCCCAGGGACAGATTCTGAGTCTACAGAATTCTAAAGAAAAGACGGTTTCCAGCCTAAATGCTAGATATACTTGATCAGTAGCAATCCTTGTAAACTCTCCTGATATTTTTTTTTCTGGCATCATCACTCATTTCAAAGCATTGTGTTGGACAAAGAAATGCAGACTCATTTCAAGCTGGAATAGACAGGAATGCTCCTTACCAGAATATCCCAAGCTTGCCAACATGTGAATAGTGGGAGCGCGTGAAATGCCTGGCTTCCCAGAGAGGGAACACTCTGGATGCCAGAGGGCTGATTCCAGGCCTGGTTCCACCCAGGCTCACGTGTGTGTCTGCCTGACTCAGCTGGGCCAAAACAGATCCCATGTCGGGCTGCATGTGATGGACCGGGGCTGTGACGGAGGCCTGGCTGTCTATTTATTTGACTTGATGTAAGTCTTGATATGATCTCATCGAATACAATGTGGGGAGGAGAAAAGCCTTCCAGGTTAAATGAGTATGCCGGCGTCTGGGGCAGAAGAGGAATTTTTATAGCTCTACCTTGGGAACTGTTCCGATGCCTCTAACAAGAATAGAAGAGCTAAACAGGTAGAGACTGAAGGGACCTGAGCACTAGGGTTTTGTGAGATAGAGAAGGAGGCAGTAGGCTTTAAGGTCCATGGGCCAATCCATGAAACAGGGGTGGGCAGTGGTGAGAGGACTCCCACTCTGGCAAAAGACTCCCACTTCTTGTCCGCTGGGCTCAGCAGGCATGGAGC